ACATGTGTTTTTCGGTTATGTTTTGCATTTAGATGTTTGTAATTTACCATTTGCGTTCAGATGTTTTTACGTTAAAATTTTTTTGAATTAATTTTTTTTTTCCATCTTTCGACAACTTACTTCTTTTATTTTAAATCAGAAAACAAAACCACTAAACAAAACTTTTAAAATACTACTCGTTACATTAATTGAAAAATTTATTATAAAAGAGAATGCGCACAATAGAAACACGTAAGCAAAATTCAAATTTACCAGATTGCAAAATATGGCTAATACTAATCAGATAATAACATGTAATTAAAATTAGTTAAAAATAAGTAAAAATAAAAAACGAAGAAAATAATTATCAAACAACTATTCAAATAGTAAAAAAAATCTAATTATCTCAAATAGTTAGGAAAAAAAATTAGAATAATTTAAAAAAATTATAAAAATAAAATTAAGAAAAAAAATAGAAAGCCTATTAGCAAAAAAAAACAAAAAAAAAGAGAGAAAATAGAAAATTTAATTAAGAAAAAATATGAATAATAAAAAAAGAAATTTTATAAAAAAATCTGGAGGGATTGGGTAGGAAACAGAAGAGTTGGGGAGGCCAGAGTAGTCAACCTAAAATTCGCAGGTTAAACTTGATGATGCTTTTGTCTTTGATAGGAAGATAAAACCTCCCGGACACCTAAAATCATCTCTAGTGTTAGATAGAGAAACATCAACTTTAAGTTCAATATTTACACATTGTATTTGCGTTTATGACCAAATGTAGAAAATGAAAATAATTAAAATATAATTTTGATCAAACCCTTTGTACACCATTTACATAAAAAAAAAAAAAGCCATTCACTCGCACAGAAACACAAACCCTATGACAGTGGAGACCATCTCTCTGCTTTCTTGGCATTATAACTTTCAGAGAGCCCTAAGAACAACCTTGCTGGTCGCATGAACACCCTTTGCAGCTATCTTCAGCACACCACGGGCTTGGTATAACCTGAAAATAACCCACAAAAATGTTACTTAAGTCGATCAAAATATTCGTGTTTCAACATCTCCGATCGTTATTAGCAAAAATCAGACATACCCTCCAAAAGCAAGTCCCCAGGTAGACAATGTGTAGAACATTTTCCCAGCATGCCATATATCAACCATCCTCCCTACCTTGCTCAGAGTACCAACTTCTTGTACAAGAACTGCAAAATTAAGCAGACCGAGAGGCCAAGTACATAAAAATACGAATCAAAACACTCAAAGAGATATCAGGTGAATTGTAAACTTACCCTTCTGAAGCTCTTCAGGTTTGAGATGCTGCAGTTTGAAAGTAGCCAAAAGTGGATATGAGATCGAAGTAGTGAAATCCAAAATGCATTACTCAAAGTAACAAGGATACAATACCTTAGCTTTTGGATTCGACATAATGCATTTTGCCAAAAAGTGTGCAACAGCATCCACCACATGTTCCTCATTCACAACAATGTAATGGTCGTTATCGATTGCGCTTTGTTCTTCGACATTGCTAGGAATCATGTCATCGGTGACCAAAACCCACCAACTTGGCTCTTGATGATCCATCTCTATAAGAACTTCAACAGTCTGCACATCATCTTCTGCTCAAACAACAAGAAAAAAGTCAACTTCAAATCCCAAAACCCAAAAAAAATTTAAGATCATCGGAGATTAGAAATCACCTGTAGGCTCCTTGAAAGGAAATTGGTTCTGAGTTCCATTAGATAAAGCTTGTCTTAGATGTTCTAATCGCACCAAGAAATCCTTCGAAGTAACCATGGATACTAGCCTAGCGTAGAGCTGATTCGATAAATTTCCCAGATTAGGAGAACGATCTCGTGCACGAAATTCCAAAAGAAGAAAGGTAAAGAGATTAGATTTGCTTACGTCGCTAGGGCATTCGTGCGATAACGCAGCAGACTCAGCGAGAGTCTCAAAGAGTTTAAGATTCGCTTCAAGCAAGCTCCTGAGACGACGATTCTCTATTCGAAGAGCCTCTAATTCTCGATCTCGTGGATCGACGGCAATAGAGTCGGTCGATTCGTGATTCTCGCCGTCGTTGCT